AGAAGAAGAAGAAGAAGAAGAAGAAGAAGAAGAAGAAGAAGAAGAAGAAGAAGAAGAAGAAGAAGAAGAAGAAGAAGAAGAAGAAGAAGAAGAAGAAGAAGAAGAAGAAGAAGCACTGCGGGCACTGCTAGTTTATTATAAAGAGTCGCGTGGTTTGCATGTCTACATTGTATTTGGGATATTGTAGGGAATTATCGCCATGAATACATGTTATGTTGCAGATAGTATACCTCACAGACTGGGAGTACAAATACTACATTGATCCAGCATTAAGCCTGCTGCTTGTGTTGCTGATTCTGCGATCAGTGTGGCCACTACTACAGGAATCTGCTTTGATCCTACTGCAGACCGTTCCAACTCATATACAAGTGGATGCCATACAACGTCGCCTACTAGATAAGGTGGATGGTGTTCTAGCTGTGCATGAGTTCCACGTGTGGCAGCTGGCAGGAGATCGTATTATTGCTTCAGCACATATAAGGTAACTTAACAGGTATAATCCTGTGAAGCCAGTTGGTAACTGTATGATCATCCGCGTTAAGAGTCGGTAATGCTGCATTTTATTGGTTTTGTATGATTCTCAGTGTAAACGGCATTAACCAGTTGATAATTGTAATGGCGAAGGGTTGTGTTCTTGGTTATTTAAAACAGTGATCATAAAATATTGAGACAGACTAGCTCTGAGGACCCCATACACTAGATGCTACAGGTGCATTGTTTCTGAATTACCAGTGTGATTCTTCAAAATTTGTGGTTACAGGAATAACTGAATTCGTTGTTAAGCAATTAAATCTAGCAACAAGTCCATTCTATGTATGCATCATATACAAATTAGAGGAAGGAACTTAATAAAATCTATTTTAATTGATAAAAACTACTCACAATAAACAGAAATGCAAGAATGTGATAATAAATCTGTACATGATTATTAAAATAAATATATACCATTCATAGTGATTCGTTGAAGATTGTACTAATGTTGGAAAAAAGCAAGTCTGTATGCTTATATTTACATTTTATCTTGACAGTAATTTCATTGTCATATGTATGTGGAGGTCTTGGTTGTATAAAAGTTTCTAAAGTACAGAATTTACAGTATGTCACCTTCTACATATATTATTTTAATTTGTTTATCCATTCTGTTGCATTATATTATTTCAGATGCAGAAATTTATCAGAGTATATGAAAATTGCTGAAAAAGTTAAAGAATTCTTTCATAATGAGGGCATCCATTCAACTACCATACAACCAGAATTTGTTGAAGTGAACGAGGTAAGTGTTCCGTACAGGGCCACACATTTTTCTCCATGTGATCATACATTTCTTTACTTCCATAATCATTAACAAATCTTCATCAGATTAAATGGCAAATTAAAACTACAAATTAGACTTTTGCATAACACGAAATAGACTGAAACCAAATGATTTTTTGGTACAAAACTGTTGTGTATTCACGTAATCTAACACACTGACTCACCAGTGTTCTTATTTTCTGCACAAAAGTATCAGTTCTCAGACCTCGTTGCATTTCTTTCCTGAACAATTAAATTTTAACAAATTTAATTAGTGGTCCACTGACAGAGACTATCTCTATTTAACGGACCCAACTGATTAGGTACTCGTCACCTGAAGACAGAGACAGAGCCAGTCTCTGAAAACTTTGTTTTTTTGTCTCTTAAAATAGGATGACAGAAATAGTCAAAAAAAAATGAACAATTTTAAGTGTAATCTACTGTCGTCAGAGCCCTTTAGAATTGTATTAAATTAATATAGTAGTGAATCAATCATCAGATTTGATTCTAAATGGTCTTGACATCACAACTGGAATAACTGTTAATATAATGGTACATTTTTTCCAGTTTCCTGCAGACACAATCCAGCCAGCCCCAACAGAAGACTGCGTGTTGGATTGCCCTAAGACAGACAAACCGTGTGCCCTATCTACTTGTTGTGGACCTTCCAAACATGTATGTGTGTTAACATTATATTTTTTGTGTATAATGTAAAATTTAAGGCAAATGTTTAAGAGGTAACATATGCAGACTCTTCGAGGTCATGTTAGTTATCAGCTGTTCAGAAAATTCTCTTTAGTTATAGAACCCAAAAATTGTCACTACTGTCACAGTAGCCTGCTTCTTGACCCTTCTAGCCATCTTAATATCCCTTTCCTCAAAAATCCAATTATATTATTCTTCCAGCACTAAGTATTCACATTTCAGGGTATTTTCCCCATCAAAATTTTGTACACATTTATTGTTTATTGATTTTGGTAAAAAACATGTATGTCAATTGTGATCTGGATTGTAATGCTGTATGGTCTTGTGGATGGTTACGAATGCTTTGGAGGAACTATTACCTCTGTCTTCAGGATGAATGCTGTCACAGCGTAGATCACCACAATCGACGTTTTCACCGCTACGAGAACCTCAGATATCAAATTCTTTTTATTGTGATTATTGTTCTTAACTTGCCTTGTTAAGAATCCAGGATTGTGAATTCAGTATGTCTGACAGACTTGTGCATATGCGGTTAGAAAATCATAAAATATTTTTTGTGGCATGGTTATCATCGAAGTTTTACTGAATTTTGTCTTGCCATATATAGGGTCGTGATACCCCATCACCAGGCGACACTCCGTACCTATGTCGGCAGCGCAACAGTGCAGCCAGCTTCAACAATCGAGTACAGGAACTGAGTGAAATGGAGAGCGGGCACTTACTAGCATCTTCTGCGCCTTGCGCAGTGCAGGTAATTTAATAAACAACAACTTTTTGTTGTGTGCAGCGCATTAGAATGCAATAAAATTACATGTCCCTTGCAGCAGTGGGAGAGTTGGACAGAATTGTGTCTGAAATCATTCTTAGTGTTGGCAGCATTGAACCTTCAGGTTCTACTACCATATAGTTTGTTGGCCGCTGTGGTAAATGTGTTAAAATGTGGTATATAAAGGTCTTTAAATTAACTGGTCATATTTTAACAGAGAATGTGAACTTAAATAGCGTTGCAAAGGGTTAGAAGCACTTCAGTATTTTTTTACAAAAAAAGAACTTATTTGTGTATGAAAAAAGTCGGTAGTTCTGAAACTTGTTCCCATTTCAGTTTATTGTCGTGATTACTTGTAACAGCATAGCCGTTGGACAGGAGAGTTTAAAGTGTGGATCGTGTCTTAAAACTGAATAGTAGTCAGGTTGTGAATTGTGAAACACTTTTTTGTTTCAGGGTAATGGTAGCTGTCCTTGTCCTGTGCCATGCCCTTCAACTCCTGTTAATAAAGAGTCGTGTGTTTGACGCTGGTCTCCGAGCTCGTCCTCCTTGCTGCCAGCTGTCAAGTGAGTAGCATACCAATGAGCCAGCGAGCATTCATCATCTGTCTAGTCCACTTTATTTCACCCAAGCATAACCTTAGTGTGCATCCACTCTCCTGATTTGGGAGTGGAACAACCAGCATAAACCGAGCGTCTTCTGTGTTGCCAAATTACTATAACAGTGAAGTTAACAATGGTAATGCAAAGTAACTACAATGGCTGTAGAAACACTGTTGGACATGTGTATTGTCTGAGGTATATCTGATATACAGTCCCGCGCGCCGTAGCGATACAAATGCGTGCTGGTTTGGGTCTCGGGGGAGAAGAAATTTTCTCATGAGCTTTTGACCAGTGTATGGGACCAGTGCCAACCCAGCATCGTGAGGAAATTGGGGAGCTACAATGAGTAGCGTAATCCGGTCAGGAAAGCTAGCAATGGCTGGGGGTTTGTCGTGCTGACCACACGTCACCCTATATCTGGTTGGATGATCGTTCACCTCTGCTTAGGCATGTGAATGTGAGGCTACCAGCCAGCTAGTCGGCTTTGGCTCTCAGAGGGATGTTACGACACGGATTTAATTTAATATCTGATATACATGGCATTGTGTAAGTTGGCTACACTCACAACTTTATGTTACTGGTTACCGACGCTTTATTGGCAGCAGACAGCATTGAACCTAGGACCGTTCAGAAACAAGGCTAGTACACTAACCATTAGACTGCCTCAGGTTCGTTCCTGACCATTGTCACTAACAATACAGGAAATAGGTGTTTGTATAATGACAACCAATTAGCTGAAGACAGAAGTAGAGTCATCTCTCAAAACATCTCGGATTTTAAATATACCTCAGACAGTGGACATTCTCTAATGTAGGGTTTCTATAAAGAATCATCTACTGTCATGAACAATTAGAGAATAACTACACTGGCATGAGTAAGATTTATTGACAGAGGGTGTGATCTGACAGAAAGTGATAAAATTGGTAGGGGTGTTGTATGAAATGTGGAAGAAGCTTTTGTAAACCGTGTGTCATGGAATAAATTTAGCAGAATTGTGAATTAAAGTTCAGCTGTGATTGTTCTGTGTAGCATACGAGTCATGAATAGATCTAACTTCCCCAGGCTTGTGATATAAAAGTGAACTAACCGTTCCCTTCGGCTCAGAGAATCAAAACCAGTAATATACGTACTGAACATTGAAATGTAATCTTTTATACAACAAGTGGTTATGTTGAGCAAAACTTTGGATACCTATACCAGAATACATGAGGTGTGAAATATTAGTTGATGCATTCTCAGACGTACTTGCTGGAAAGCACACAATTTTGAAACTATACTTTTTACGAGTAGGGTTGAGCAAATGAGCTATTATTTATTTAGTTGCTGTGAAGAGAACTTGAGAAAGAGTAAATAAAAATGTGAGTTTGTCCATTAACAATTTAAAGACAGCATTGGCAATCATGTGAAAATAATTTTTATGTAATTTGTTTCTCTGTTGTATTGTAATGTACATAATAATATGTACTTTGTCAGGCCTTTACGCTGGGAGAATAATATTTAATGTTACAATCAGCATTTGATGTGCTTGTGAGAGGAATAAGAATCAGATTAAGTGGTCTTCTAGAGCAGTGGTATCAACCTTTTTTGTTCGCGTACCCCCAGATATAATTTCTCTTCAACTTTGTACCCCCAAAGTTGTTGGTGTATAATTCAAGTTATACATAGTATATAATCTACATCTAAAATAAAGTAAATAAATTTCATTACTGATTATTCAGTGTTTATCATAAAATAATATATATTTTTTAAATTTCATGTACCCCCGGGGGTAGGCGTACCCCAGGTTGAATACCACTGTTCTAGAGTGTTTGGTTCAGCCCATAAATTGTGTTCAACTGTACCTTAAATAATTAGACAGAAGTTTTAAGGGTATTTTAAATAGCAGTAAACCAATTTTAAAATGTTATGACCACTTTCCAGAAATATTTTACTTTTGGTGCACAACTTGTGAGCTGGTGGTGTTATATTAAATTAATAGTGACTGATGTTATTTATTGCTTTCACTTGTGCAGCAAATTGCTTACAAAAAAAAAGGATGTAATGTTCCAAGTTAAGCAATTATCATAAACATGAGTTTGATTGTAATGTACTGGCAAAGCAGTAGTCATACTGCCCTGATGACGGAGGCAGTATGACCTCTGAAACGTTGGTTAACATCGACCAGACTACACAGCGCAACAACCCAGAAGACAGAAATCTTCGTACTCACCGCTGTGAAAACGTCAAATCTTACACAGTAAAAATATTTTGAAATTATCTTAAAATGTTTATGGACGGATGATTCTTTTTGTTTAACATATTAGGTAAATGTAAACAGTCAGTATGAGATGAAGCCTAGTATAATCAAGCTGGTCTTGGTGTTGATCTTTGATTAGAAATAATTTGCTTGTAAATGCAAAGGCCAGGTGTGAATAAAACTATACACTGAGTAAATTCATCTTCCCCATTCCCGCTTCAAAATCATATAAATACAAACAGTATGTGAAGATTTTTTGAAGTTATATTTGTTTGCCTGTTACGTTTTAAATTCTTGATTATGTCTTAAATGTTATATTGTGGAATACGCAATTCATATGAAATAGTTATATGATCAGTCTTGCAGAAACATTTCAGTTCTAACATTTTGTGTATATGATGAGCATGTTCCAGAGCATTTTCATGCATTTGGCAGCTTTAGATTTGAGTGGTTCGGTATTTCATGTTACAGATGTTAGCATGGTGTTCAGCAGTGGAAAGAATTAATATAATTTTTTTTTCTGTTTAAATTGATAATTGTGACAAGCAAGTAAATGGAAAGGCTTTATATAAGACATTTCCTTGGGCAATTTCATAGCTTGAGGAATCCTATATTGTAATACTTAAAAGGGAAAATGAAAGAATGAAAAGTACAGTATAATAAAATATTTGACTAGGAAACATTACTAAGGAATACAGCTATGTGATAACGTATTTGTGAGTAGGGGACGCAAGTGAGTTTTCACTGAGTGTCTTCTGAATATAAACTTTGTAAATATTTTAGTTAGATCATACTATGCATAAAGTACTATTGTTTATGAAACATATGCACTATTGTAACACCAATACATGTATTTGTGCCACTTACATACTCACCAACTTATATTTCTTCCTCACTTTGTGAGATTTGTTCTTACTTCTTTTACCTTCCAGAAACTTTACATGTGTAAATAATATGCCGTCTGGTGGTATGAGTTCTAACCAACAAACTGCCATTAAGAGAGGTAAATAATAAACTCTAACAGTGAAGATGAAATTTATAGTTCACCTTAGTAGTTACATTTGACTAAGTTCCCAGAACATGCATGAGGCTTGTTCAAGTGAAACCTGTTTGGTGATTTCTTCTGGTTGAAGTAGAAGCTATTAAATGAATCCCATTGATGTACCAGCTGATGCAAAGAACTTCCTAGGCTGCTTCTGGAACCACTATACCACTGCAGCCTTGGCATCTTTGTCCACCCAAAATGTATGACCCCTTTGCACGTTTTGAGTGGATGAACGCGTGGAAGTCGCACAGTGACGGAACTGGACCATGTGGAGATGAGCATTGCCGTACAATATATTGCCGCCTCTTATTAACGTACCAGGATGCTATCTCATGATGGTAGTATGAAGATCTCAGAAGGTTTCTAAACATCACTCTACAGGGATTGTGGTGACAGCGTCGTTTGAACAGGATTAGCTATTTATCATTATCGAAGAAAACTGTTCTGTTTGGATGGGTTCTGCACCTGGAGTGCAGAAATTTAATCATGTCGTACTGTTCCCATTTGCTCTAACATTATCATTCTGTTGCATGATTCTTGGTTGACTGCTAGTGTGTCATGTATACAATTGTGTGATCACCTGCAACTGGCTGTATTTGCTAGCAGTACCACAAATGGGTTTCATTTTAACAACCCTCATGCTATTATATGTTGGAAATTTTTGGTGCTGTAGTCATATTTTCGTTTACCAGTGCAGACTCGTGAGCAGACTTAATTGATGTGATGGTGGATTCCCTTTCATATGTTTCAGTTCCGTAGATATTATTTGATTCCTGATACAAACTTTCTGTGTATTATTGCATTGTATGTGTTTTGTAATGGATTCATTACTCGTCTTTATTTTTGTTATAGATTTGTTAAAATCTTAATTCATTATGTCTCTTCTTTGGGGCATAATCATTTATGTATTTTGCATTTAAGTTTCCAACTATAGAAATGCTAAAACTTTTAATTATTGTTTTCCTTGAGTTATGTCAGTCTTATTACACTGGTTTTTAAACCTTTATTTGATCCCTTCATATTCAACATTCCCAAAACTATATTTTTTTTTCAGTTTTGTGGTACAGCCCCTTTTATCCTCCCACACACGTATTAAGGCATCCTAATTAAAAATATTGTAGTTATGCTTGGCATTGTCCATTTTCCATTATATGTAATATATACAGCATTTTTGGAGTTGCCTCTGCTTGAGTCTTCATATGATTGTTGGTTATTATACTACCAGATATTTTACTTACTTGGATACTTGTATGATCCGTTCTTTAAGTGCCTGAGCACTGCGGGTCCCAACTTTTCGTTGGTTTTGATCTATGGACATTTTGGTAGGACTCCTTGGACGAGGGATCGGCCCGTCACAAGGCCTCTACCTGTACACAGGACGGCACAACACAGAAATGTGGACAAACATCCATGGCTTGAGTGGGATTCGAACCCACAGTCCCAGCGACCAAGTGGCACAAGGCCCATGCCTCAGACCGCTGTGACCTCCACCAGATATTTTACCTTTTATATTTTTCCTTCTGCTATAAAAATAGTCATCTTTACAGACCTTTTGAGAACCAATTTAAAATGTTAGGCGAAACTGCATCTGGTGGTGCCAGTGGAAATTCCATAATCTCATATGTAAGGATTTCTGTCCCATATGTCTCTGCCATGGTCCTTCCATTCTGACATGTCCTGTTGTGGTGACAATCAAACTTTGTAGTATGAAAACATTAATTGTTTGTAATACTGAGGAGAGGCCACTATATTTCTTCAGGACCAGATACTAAGCAGGCCTCTGATATGTAATAAGTTATTGGTTAGATTATTTAAAAAGCAGGTAGTATCTTTTTTAAAAAAATGTTAGCACTATCAGTTTACAGTGCATTGTTAAAGTATTATGTGAGGAAGAGAATTTTGTACCCATGAGTCATATAAAATTAAAAACAAAAGAATGAAATATTTTTTTATCGTGACAGGTCTTTATATTTTCACTGACCATGTTTTATTACATTCTGGGGACATTTTACCATGTAATTAAAATTCCAGGACCCATTCAATGGGCAGCCATTTGAATCCCTGACCAGATATGGGTTCATTTTTTTTGCACAGAGCCCTTTAGAAATATCACAGTTTTATTAGTTGCCTGACAAACTCCGCTTGCTCGTAGTCTGTCAGTATGATTCATACAAATAATTGTATGAGATATTTAGATACTCAGCTTTAAATGTTGAATATTAAGAGCAATTCTCTAATTTGTTTTCTGCATCTTGTGTGTGATGATAAATTTGTTCATTAAATGTTTTACATTTAATCCAAGACTGAAAATATACTCTCCACCAGTAATTCACTTATGGTCAGTGTGAAGGTGTATTTCTGGAATCCTGTTTACACTTGAGAAACTTTCGTCCTTGTCTTCAGGAATGTAGATTATGCCTGATCCTGGTTCTTAGCTCCCAATATGACATTATGATGTACGTATCTTGTCACAACTGTCATTGCACCGTCTCTTACGTATCACAGAAAAACAAAATCTGCCTCATGGTTGCAGAAGTGGATTCCTTGGTCTTATTTGGCAGACACTAGCCTGGAAGATCAGACATACCATTACTTCACACATTTGTCACTATCATTTTATTATGGGGAAAAATGTCGATACAGTTTTAAATCACCTCAAAAGTGATATTGGCAGCACTGAAAGTGACTCATGTAAACAATATGAACCTTATTAGTGTTAGTCTTTTGGGTTTAATACTTGTAGGCAGATACCATCATTTCAGTGAAAGACAATGTAGAAGTCCACACGGAATTAGAACCCAGATGACCAACATTGACATCTGTATCGCCATGAGAACATCAAATCTTGTGTGAACTTTCACACTTTGCACTTAGATGGTTTGCGTCATCTTATGAGTAGTGATGGTCATGAAATGTTTAAAATGGCTGCTCCATTAATGGAATTTACAACAACAAAGATTGATAGAGTTTAATCCCAGTATGGACTGGTACTTTTGAACACCATGTCCAGACTGACTCTGGGGATAAACCAAACTCTCATCCATAGGTTAATGAAGTCTATTCAGAATGTGTATCAAACACTGGTGAAGGATCATGTGATTGTGGACTGAGTATTTCGCTTGCCTGTGTTTATATCCACTCCACACACATCTCGAATAGTGTATATGGGGGGCTCGGGATAAATCTGATTACTTATCGTAATCCTACTAAGAACTAGAAACCCTGGGACTTCACCTTACAATTCTAAATGTTCAATGATATTTAATTTTTGTTTCAATTTTCAGTATTTTCTGACTTGCTTCTGTGTGGTACAAAATTGTCTTACCTTGCTCTGAGAACATGCTCTAAAAGTCTAAGTGTAAGATGTGGAAACTACGGCTGTGGAAGTTGTGAGAGATGTTAACATTTTGACTGTTACATATGGACTTCTAAAGGTCACAAGTTTTTAATCATATTAAGTTAGGAAGCTTAAAGAGTGATGTCATAATGTATTGCATTGTAATTGAAATAAAAGAGTAGGAAAGATTAGAGAAGTATCAGAATAAGTAGGAAGATCATAATTAAGGCATAAACACATTTTCATTATGTACAAGTTTGATAATGGGTATTAAGCCCCAGAAGACCAAAGCAGAGAATTGCATTCTCTTTAACATAGATATACAATATGTATGAGATCTCGTAGACATTTGTTTCCATTGTTCTGTATTGTGGATCAAAATCAGGGTCCCTTAGCTCTGAACTAACTAGTGGGCCATGACTTTTAAAATATATTAATCTTTTATTTTAAACAAATCTCATATAAGAATTTTTGCTTAAAATAATTTTGTATATTATTAATTTATCATTATGTATTTTACAGCAATGTTTATCTGCAAGTCATGGCTCAGTTTTCACACTTTCCTTTGAATTATCATATTTCATCACATAATTCACACACTTTAATTTCTCAGCATGATTATATCAGTCCAAAAGGGGTAGCGGTTTTTATAAAATGCAAAAGTGACTGTGCAGGAACACTTATGTGGCCCATTTGGCAAGTGTCATAGTGTATCTTTGTTGCTTGTTGCATGATGTACAGTCACCCTGCAGTCTTATGGAGTTGTAGATAAAATTTAAATATGATTGATGGGTATGGCATAAAGAAGAGTTTAACTGAAATGAATATTTTCATTTGTTACTAATTAACCTCATACACTGCCTACCATTTTTTGTAGAAAATGCTTAACTGTTGCAGATATATCTTGCAGACAGTGATGCTATCATGATTGACCATTTTTAATGAATTCTTGTATAAATCATGAAACTTGTTAGGTTAATTAAGGTGTGTATGGATGGGGCGTCCAGTAGAGTTCGTATAGGTAACCTCATGGATCCATTCCCATTGCACAGTGGTCTAAAACGGGGAATGCTTTATTCCCAATGCTTCTTGCACATCACTTGAAAATGTTTCAAAATTTAAGTATAAGGGAACAACAATAACAAATAGAATTGAGGTCCACGATGAAATGAAGAGTAGAATACGCCAGGAAACGTTTGTTTTATTCAATTCAAAAACTTATCATCTCATTTGTTATCCAAAACATTAAAGATCAAGATATGTAAAACAATAATATTGCCTGTTTTGTATGGTTATGAAACATGGTCTCTTACCTTGAAGGAAATGCATAGATTACAAGTGTTCGAAAACAAGGTGCTCAGGAATATATTTGGACCTAGGAACGATGAAATAAATGGGGAATTTAGAGTATTACATAATGAGGAGCTGCATGAATTGTACAGGTCACATAGCATAATGAGAATAGTGAAATCTAGGAGGCTCTGATGGGCTAGACATGTAGCACGCATGGAGGGGAGGCAAGGAGTGCATACAGAATTTTTGTTGGAAATCGTTCTGAAAAAATGACCACTGGGCAGACCAAGAAGGAGATAGGAGGATAATATCAAGATGGATCTTAGGGAGGTGGACTGTGAGGATGGCAAATGGATGAAGTTGGTTCAGGATCATGGCTGGTGGTCTGCCTTTGGTGTTGTCAGTGTTGGACCTGCAGGTTCTGCTACCAGGGAGTTTGTTATAAATCATGCACCCAAATATTTTTCAGCAAAGTTTTGAAAAAGAAAGTGTGTGATATGTAATCTAATATGGTACATTTAAATTTTGTTAAATGATTTGTTTTACTTGAACTTTGTAGAACACTAAGATTTGGCCATGTATCTTTCTGTTAAATAGAATTATTGGTTTGGCATTTGTGAAAATATATGTAAGCATTGATGAAAGATTCTCATGCTACAAACCGCATCAGGTGGCTGAACGGTGAACAAACTGTGTCTTCTGCTGGCATCATCACTACCTGCCGTCCACCGCCAGCCAGTTCCCATCAGCTAGCGCGCAACAAAGTAACATGCTGGTTACCCAGCAGCCCTGAGGATGAGAACAAAGTTTGTTCTTGAAACATTGGCAGAAGATATCGTTTGTTCACCGTTCAGCCACCTGACACGGCTTGTAGCCCGAGAATCTTTCATCACCTTCAGTCGCTGCAAAAGCATCACCTCATACATATGTAAGCATTGTTCATATAGCTCTATAGTGTCACCAGTAATTAAGCTTTCTGCACTTTTAAAGTGTTATTTGCTTCTTGTTGTTAATAACAAATTTTTAAGGCTACTCATAAGAATTAGGACAATATTTCAAGAAGTTACAGCTATGGTCCTTCCATTCTTATCCCTTTAAAGCAGTGGTAAAGTTCATGTACCACTTTCTTTAATATTTAGTAACTGCATTTTACCCACAGAATGTATTTACATGTTTCTTACGATTCTCAAAATAAACATCAATTATTTCTTTAAACATCATTAACTGAATGAGATTTGTAATGTAGATGAACTTCATGCTTCAGAAGTTTAATTGTTGAAATAAAGTTACCTGTTACATGCTATACAACCAGGATTCAGGTGCGATTTCAGGTTCTCATGGTAATGAGTATGATGATACCTAGGATGTTATGCCATGTAGTCTGGTAGGAGTTTACTGATGTTTCAGAAGTGATTACTGCCTCTGCCATCAGAGCAGTATCACCCTGAGGCAGTAAACATCTATCTGACGACTTGGTTCAACATCCCAGAGGACAGCGATCTTCAACCAGGATTCAATTTGCTGGAGGGACAAAGTGTTCTCTTTGCCAGTACATCCAGATCAGCTCTGGGGCCCACTCATCTTCCTGTCGAATGGATGTCAGGGGCCCTTTATCTTTTGGTAAAGTTATTAGATCACGAAGCCTGTCACTTCTCCTCGTGTAGTGGCAAAGTAACAGGTATGTGGAACGTCACCTCTTTTTGCCTTAGCTGCATAATTATGTAGGGCAGAATGACTGTAAATCATAGGAAGACCTTATTAGATTATTTGATAGTATTTAATTAGTGATAAATTTACATAATTAATGCATGTAAAAATTGTGTGATATTTGATGAGGATGATGTTTATGCTCTGGGTTTTTGCACCATGTAGGCTTGTCTGTAGATGCTAGCATTTCAGAGGGCTACGTGGAGGTGTCGCGCCGGTTCGTACCCATATCCGCAGCAGGTCTCCAAGGTGAGGAGCCTCTAGTCGATAGACTAATGTAGGTAAGGGAAGGCAGCTTCAGCTTTAGGGCTGAAATGTGCAGGGATTGTAACAGATTGAAAGGTGTCTGACAGTATTAGGATAGTTGTTAATTTTGAGTCAGTTACGATTAAAAATTTAGAGTTTCATGGATTATAAAATTACACTTGGATTGAATTTAAATTTAAACTTGCATTGGTTGGATCAAATCTGTCAATGTTGCTTTGCTTTGTGCTTTTTCATATGTAACAGTTTTACAGATTTTTTTCTTTATTTTTCATTTTTCCCTCCTCTTACTTTCTCATCATTACCAGATGACAATTTTCATGATTTTTATCTCTAGAACTGAAGCAAGCAGGAGTATGACATTTAACACAATTTAGGAGGGACTGTCCCCTGGTATGTTTGCAACCTTGCAGATCACCTTTTAAAATCACTTGCCCACATTCAATATGCACAAAAATAGCTGTAGAACTGCTGAACAAATTTTATTATAATTTATTAATGTGGTCCACTTTTAGTTATGATCATAAACTAGTAATGGATACTTCACACAGAGACTTAAATGCTTTTCTGCAGATGGAAATGACTGGGTGGGGAACTCGGTTTGTATGGTTACTTGGGTTAATGTCATTATTAAACATTTTAAAGTTGGGGCCATATAACGCTGTGTCCAAGTCGTCATATTCTTGTCAAATGTTATATTGTGAGATTTTTTTGACGTAAATACGTCTATACGGAAGGGTCATTCGGCAAAAAAGTGTAACGAAAAAGTGACAGGAAAATGTATAAGATCGTATCAACAAATCGACAACAATGGTTAACTTGCGTGCATTGTTATGTTACCTAGGAAACGTCCTGTGTTTACTCGGCATTGTTGTGTTATATTACTGCCGTCAACAATCCGCTTTCGTAACAAGATGTATGACATTGAAGATAACATTACATTACATTTCACTACTTTACTTTACATTACATTACAGAGACTTAAATATAAATTAAATAGAGAGACGTATTTAAGTAAAAATTCTCCGGAACCGTGGTTCCACTGTCAATTTTTTTCATATCCGCAACCCTGTTGGTATTATCTGTGCTCTAACCAATACCTTTCAAGTAGATGTTATAGACCATTTAAAGTTTAGTTATTGACCTTGACTCAAGCTACCCCGATTGAGACTTAACAGCCATTTCTTGTCAAAGGAGGACAGTTGGGTATGTTGCCAACTTTATGATTGATTATATGATCTCTCTCCTTTAAATTCTAAGCGTTAGTGAAATTTCTTTGTCGTCGTTTGACATTGACCAATGAAGACAAATGAAATAAGTGCTGTTGGCTGTGGTACTGCTTGGCACTGACAGCGTACAAAAGATAACGGAGTGAGTCAGAGGGAAGTATAAACGGTTCATACCCTTAGGAAATTAGAGTGGGTGACGCCAAGTGGATGTAACGGATATTGGTTCGCGTACGACCTTGTGTTTGAAATAGGTAAATTAGTGAGAACGTTGCCAGTGTACGTTCGTGTGTTGTATGATTTTAAATTAATAGTGTTTGTAATAAGGTCAATTTGAAGAAAGGGTAAGATTATTTTGTTTTTGTGCTGTGTCTGGATAGACGGAAATTGTGTTACAAAAGAAGGAAGGATATGCTATTATTAAGTAAGATTTGAGGTTTTCACGGCGATGAGCTCGAAGATGGCTGCTTTTTGGGTTGTTGGGCCTTGCAGTCCGGTAGAAGTTTACCGACGTTTCAGAGGTCCTTGCTGCCTCCATCATCAGGGCGATAAGACAGCAAGGACCTCTGAAATGTCGGTACAATTGTACCAGAGTGCACAGTGTTTTTTATGACTCTTGAAATTACGGTAGGTGAGACTTCTATTTTTTGTTTCAGTGAAACACCATGCCTCAGAAATACAAGTTATCATACTTCTGTGTCAAGGCACTGGGAGAACCTATCCGCTTCCTGTTGTCTTATGGTGGAGTGGAGTTTGAAGATTATCGTTTTGAGAAAGAGCAATGGTCCCAGATCAAACCAAGTATGTCCATCGAAGGACCTGTTTCATTTGAGCTGCAGGGCCTATTCTAAGCATTCTATACAGCCAGTCTAGGAATTATCTGTTATAGAATCCCTGGGTTCATGTTTCTCATAACAAAAGCTCACCATATCATTGGACTATAATTTCATCAGTTTCAAGAGTGATTTTAATATTATCCTCTCATGTATAAATCCAATCTACATCATCAATTTGAATTATTTTATCACCACAGTATTGTGTGAAGATTACAATTTGTGAACCTCATTATGAAGTTTGTAATTTTTTCTAGACTTTGTCTCTTGAGTCACATGTACTTGGTATTTATGTTATCAGACACCTTCAGTATTTTTCTTTTGAGCAAAGCAATCAAATTTCATACCAATAAAAGTAACAGGTTGTTGTTTATGCTGTGGGGTGTACTCCACCCAGTTAAGTTTTACTAAGATGTGTAACCTTATCTGTTAACTTCCCAGCTCATTATTTCCAGTATCTGCAATTTTTCTTGTTTCTGTTGTCATATTAAATGTTTGAGAAGCAGAGAAAATATTTTGGTGAGAATGGTAAGGTTATTGATTTGATTTTCTCATCAGCAAGCAATGTTCATTCCTTTTTGATAAAGCATAAAGATAAGAGGATTTTTTTTTTGTCTCCAGGAAATATAAAGATTTTTGGAAAGGAATTCAATCTTGTTATGAATGTTGTTTCAGTTTGTTACTGTCATCCCTAGGTACTTGAACATTGTCACAGTTCTGAACAGTTCATTACCAATTCTTATTTTTATTTTGGTGATGCAGAACAATTTAAAGGAAAACAATTTTAAAAAATGTCAACAAAAAATTCTTGAACATGGCACAGAGAAGAAGCATGTATCCTAGAATATAAAAACCTTGAACATTTTTTTACTAATCTGTTTGCAACAACCATACCCACAGTCACGTTACGTGTATGAATGATTCTGGCCTTTACAGCTACGCCTTTTGGGAAGGCTCCAGTTCTCGAGATTGACGGAAAGCAGACCCATCAGTCGGCTGCTATTTGTCGTTACCTTGCCAAGCAGTTTGGTCTGAACGGCAGCAACGACTGGGAGGCTCTTGAGATTGATGCTATTGTGGACACTCTTACTGACTTCAGACAGCGTAAGGATTTCAAGTATTCGTGTAGTGACCCACAGTAAAGTTTGTGGCTGTGGGCTAGGTGACTGAGGTTTGATTCCCAGTAGGAGCAGATATTCTTCTAAAATCTGTAAATAGCTTATTGTTATTAATTTATCGTGTTAATTGTTGCTAATTGTTATTAATTACTGCCTCCATCATCAAAGTGATGATGGAGGCAGCAAGGACCTCTGAAACATTGGTAAAACGTCTGCCATTCTGCATGGAATAACAACCCAGACCTCAAATCTTACACTTATACATATTTTTCATATCACCAGCATGTTTTTTTTGGGGGGGGGGGGGT